CACACCACACACACACACACCATACACACACATCACACACACCACTCTGCCTCCTCTCCACCCCATGAACAAGGTTCTGATGTGCTGACTCTAATGTGGGTCTCAAGATTCTTCTTCTCCTCCATGTTGCCAGACAATCCAGACACTGCCAGGCTGGGGACTGTACTTAACGACGGGTCAGGCCCCTCACACTCAAAGCCTATAAGAGCCAAGCAGCTGAGGCGTGTGGAGGGAGCCGTGGCAAGCCGAGGTGGCCTGGAGAGAGTGAACGGCGGCCCTAACGGTCAGCACTCCTCAGCCTCAGCTAGTGAGCATCCAAGGCTGGTGTGGGTCCACAGCTATGGGTGGCCTCCCAGTTTTAAATCCTGTGGTAACAAGCCCAACTGTTAAGAACTGGCCTCTGTGTGCATGTGTAGGCTCCCAGCAGCTTCATATATGGCAACCCCAGTTGAGAAGCAGCCTAGAGGGCGCTGTGCCTAGGCATTGGCACACAGGGGCTAGTATTTGGCAGCAAGAGAGGATGGGCAGGAAGTACAGCTAGCCCGGATACAAGGGGCAATGAGACCGCTGATGTCCAGGCACGCGGAGAGCACACTCATCTTTCTTCTCAGAGTTGTGCACAGTTTAAAGCTCACGGGTTGTCTATTTCTGGGACTCTGTCAGCTGAGCACAGACAACTACAACCGAGGAAAGCAAATGTGTGGAAAGCGCAGCTGCACACAAATGGGAGCATTAGCTAAAACTCTGCTCCCGAGACCACGAAGCTGGTGAAGCATCGTGGGAGTGGAGGCAGCAGCAAGAGGCGTTATTACAAAAAACAGTGCACATGACCTTTGCTCCACACGTTTCCCTTCTGAAAATTTACAAATACACTCACGGGCATGTAAGCTGACACATGCGCCAAGCACTCGTGGTGGCGCGCAACGAGCTTTCGTGAATTCTGCCACCATGCAACTGTGAAGGCAATGCAGTAGCTACTGGTATCGATGGGATGTGAGAGAAACGCCAAGATAACTGGGTTGGGGGGTGGCTCAGTTGGTAGGGTGCTTGACCAGCATGCACGAGGCCCTGGGTTGGATTCCCAGCACACCATAAAGCAGGCATGGCGGTGCATGTCTATAAGTCCTGTACTAGGGAGACAGGGCTGGAGCTTTAGATGGTCAAGATTATCGTCGTCAGGGCTGGCGAGATGGCTCAGTAGTTAAGAGCAGTGGCTGCTCTTCTAGAGGACCCAGGTTCAATTCCCAGCACCCATATGACAGCTTACAATTGTCTGTAACTCTAGTTCCAGGGGATCCGACATTCTCACACAGACATGCCATATATGCAGACAAAAGACCACCGCATATAAAATAAAAATAAATAAATTACTTTAAAAGAAAGATTATCTTTGTGAAGTAATGCAAGCCAGTCTGTGATAATGAGAACTGTGTTTCAAAAGAAAGCAGCAAGACATGACAGGAGGCCTAGACATACGGATGGATTGAATGTGTTTGTCAGTGTGGGGTGACACGGACACAGAGATGCCACAGGGACTGGACAGAGGGTGTGTTTCTGTCTTCCCAACACCCCGGGAGCTAAGGCAGGAGATCTGAGTTCAAGACCAGCCTAGAACATGGCTGCTTCAAGGTAGGGAAGCCCACGGTTGGAAGAGGAGGAAGCTGAGGCGATCCTGTCCACTGGGCACTGTTCTTGTGGACAAAGCACTGTGCCCATCCAGCTGCCCCTTTGGCATCTCCTCAGAAGCCCTGAATCCCACTGTCTCTGTCTTGGGGTGACTGTGGAGCTCCCACAGCAGGATTTCCATGTGTGCTCTGAAGGTAACCTTCTTGCTTTCTAGAGTGGTGACAAAAAGGCTAGCGCACGGGGCAGGCTGCAGGCTGTGAGAGCTGAAGGCGGAGGTCCCATTTCCCTGCATTTACTTCCTATCTCTCCAGGCACGGCCCAAAGGCGAGGGCCTGACGCCTTACCAAGGCAAGAAGCGCTGCTTTGGCGAGTACAAGTGTCCAAAGTGCAAGAGGAAATGGATGAGCGGGAACTCCTGGGCCAACATGGGGCAGGAGTGCATCAAGTGCCACATCAACGTGTACCCGCACAAGCAGGTGGGTGAGCGGGGGGCGGGGGGGAGAGGAGCTAGTTGTGGGACTGAGCCTTGGATGAAGTTGGGTGGCCTGTGGGGGGAGGGCTGGGGGGCGCAGGGCATTCTCTCAGCCCCCTGGAGGTGATTCTTGCCCTGTGGTGAGCCTTAACTGACTCCATAACATGGAGCCTGAAGCGGAGGCGTGTTGGCGGGGTAGGCAGAAAGGGGCTAACTGGGATAGGGAGTTAGGACAGCCCAGTTCCTACAAGGCCTCCAGGTGTGTGGGTTCCAAGGGTCTAGGCTAGAGGTCTGGGGAGAACTCACCTTACTGTCTTATTATCTAGGTAGAGGCAGAGGCAGCTCACACACTCAGGGCAGGCAACCTGACATCAGCAGTGTTCCTGTGTGACCCAGTGTCTGGCAAGGCAGGCTACTTACTGGGTCCCTTCTGTCTTGCCATCCCATCCCTTGGTCATTGATGGCTTTCCCTGCCTTCCCCCTCCCACATCCTACCAGCATAGCCTAGTGTAGCCTGCTCACCTGCTAGCCTGCTTCTACACAGAGGGGTCCAGTCTAGAAGGAGCTTTGAAAAGCTGGAGGCTCCACTCTTCCCACTCACCATCATCCAGCCAGTATTTGTTGAGTACCTATGGTATGCACTGGGGAAATTGAGGTATGAAAAGGCAATAGGATTTGAACCCCCGACCCTTACCCCACCTCTACACACCAGCCAAGTTCTGTGTACCTGGGCTCTTGTGCTTCTCTCTCTGGCTTGAGATTTGGGAGTATGGTCCCCTTGCTCTCCCAGTGAGGCTCCAGTGGAGCCTATGTACCCAGGCCCCATGGAGAAGGGTTCTTGCCCCTCCCCCAGGGCTGACCCAGCCACCTCATCCCTCTGAGAAGGCCTATCCCCACTACATCTGTTTCCTGTCAGGCTCCAACTGTGTCTCTTCCCCCCCCCCCCAGACAACCCACCCCACCTCTCCAAGAAGAGAAGAAAATACTAATGGGCTTTGGCTCCCTGCTGGGGGTGGGGAGGGGCTCACAGCTCAGTCCCAGCTGCTGAGTGTTTCCTTCCACAGAGGGGAGTCATCCTGACAGCTCCCCCAAGCTCCCCACTAGCAGCCTGAGGCTACAGGCTGAGCAAGGCTTAGCAGCCAGCCAGAACCCATCCTGACCAAGGCCAAGAAGAAAAGGTAGTTTAAAGGAACCTAGGGCCAGGGCTGGCGAGGACAAGAGCATTTCCCAAGGATTCAGCTAATGGTCCCGCCCTTTCAAAACATTACTGATAATATTCAACATCAATACTGGCCAACACATAAAAGGTTCCCCAGGAACAAGGTGCCATTCTGATCACTCTTCACAACAACCCCACAAAACAGGTTTTCTATTAGGGTCTTTCTTTTTCTTTGGCAAAGAGAGGCCAAGTGATTTGTTGATTGTCCACACAGATATTATAAAGACTTTGTGGAGCTCTGTGGTTATAGAATTCTTTAAGACAGTCATTTACTCTCTAGTACACACACACACACACACACACGCGCACACACACTACATACACACTCATACACAACACACACATTCTTGTACATATAGGCATTCTCTTGAACTGACACACATGCACACACACACGCATGCACACACAACATAATACTCATGCACACACATGCACACGTGCACACAGCTGAGCCACAACAGCACCTGTCACTAACCCCTAACCCAAGCTGCAGAAAGGCAAGCTGAGGTGGCAGCCATCAGCCAAAGGATGGCAGAGGTGATGTTCGAAGCTCTCTGACTTATGACCATGGGCTGTGGACACACTGCAGAGGTGTGGGCAGAGCAGTTTTCCAGAATACTCTTCAGGCCTCTCAGCTCTTCTCATTGGCTCTGCTCCTTACCTCTGGGAGTGCTGTCAGCCTCTGCTATAAATCCCAGGACAGCAGTTACTGGAAGGGTGAGCAGAGAAAGTGCTAGTGAGTTCTCAGGACCACAAGGGTGGGAGCATCCTCAAAGAAGGATGGTGCCCTGGGAACAGAAAGCCAGGCGTCTGGAACAGGTATGAGAATACTTGAGATCTAGAGCCAGCCCTGAGCTGCAGCGCCGGGGCCTAGACCAGGTAGAAAAGCAGGCTACTACTCTGCCTGGGCATGTCACTGGCATCCAAGGGGCTTTGCCCCGAACTCCAGGTCAGCCTGTAGTTTCTGCTCCCCTCTCCTTGGCACATGGTTCCCAGCTGGGTCCTGACAAGCTTCCTCTGAGCCCCCAAGTCTGTGCAGAGGACCCTTCTACAGACAGGGTATCATTCTGGGGCTGGAGGGGGAACAGTCTTTGTGGCCAACTGAAATTCTGTCCACTTCAGAGTCACTCCTTGTGAGCCTGTAATGTTTGCAGGTCTTTGCTGGGCTTTGTGGGTAGGTCAGGGAGGGAGAGCAGGCAGGGAACCAAGCCATCAAAAGTACAAGAAAAGTTTGAGGGCTGGTGAGATGCCTCGGGGGGAAGGGCCTTGCCACCAAGCTTGATGATTTGTTCAATCCCTATGACCCACATGGTGGAAGAAGAAAACTGACTCCTACAAGTTGTCCTCTGTCCTCCGCAGTCATGCTGTCTCACACATGCACACATGTGAACACACACTTACTACATGAAATTTTTTAGAGAGAGGGGCACTTGTGTGTGCCTAATGTTGCCCAGGTTACCAACAGCCAGCATCCCTCGGGATCCTTCCAAACTTTGCAAATGAGCATTGTGACAGCATGGATGACATGACATGACAGGGAGGATGTAGACAATAGGCCCGGTGAGTCGCCTTCTTTCTCTAGGCCTCAGTTTCCCTGTTAGAAAACAATGAGGCTCTATTCATGCAGTCACTCAATAAATGGGCAGGCACTGGGCCAGGATCTAAGCTGAGATTGGCCCCAGACCCCAGACTTATGGAACTAAGAGCCCTGTTGCCCCTTGGGTTGAAATGTTGCAGCTATGTCCAGGATGACTGACTCACAAGGCCACTGGAGTGACAGGAACAGATATCAGTGCACTTTCCCTTGCCTGAGACTCCGTTTCTTCATCTGAGAGATGTCGTTGGGCCCCTGTCCTGCATTGACTCTGGGCTAGATCTGGGAGCTCTCTGAGCTTCATTCAGGGCGGCAGTTGCCAAGAGAGGACTGTGGGTCAAGCAACATATTTGCCTATGGTTCTGGGTCTAAGACCGCTGCCTTGGCTCTAGCCAGCCCAGGAATTTTACCTGAGCCTCTTGGGCAAAAACGTCTGTAAACAGGCAAAAGGTAGGGTCCCAAAGTATTGGCTGAGCTACCTCGGTAACTGCAGGTTTTCTCCCTCCTCCCCTTGGCCCTGACCCTCTCTCCTCCTCCACTGCAGAGACCCCTGGAGAAGCCTGATGGTCTGGATGTGTCTGACCAGAGCAAGGAGCACCCACAGCACCTCTGTGAAAAATGCAAGGTCCTGGGCTACTACTGTCGCCGTGTGCAGTGACCATGGCCACCACTGCAGCACCCCCCGGCTGCCACCTCCCCGTGCTGCCCCAAGAGATGAATGTCCCTGATACCTGAGGAGACTTCACAGGCTTGTGGGCTTATGAAGGGGAGGCTCATGTCCTTGTCTCATGTGCACCTGATAGGTGCAGAGACAGGAGCCTCCAGGACTCTTCCCCATAGGCCTGGGCTCTGTAGGGGGACAGAGACCAGCAGAGGCCTTAGTGTCCCTGCAGCAGGCTCTCTTCCTGAGTATCTTTGGGGCGAACTGTGAATCCTGAGGCCTGTGGGAGTCATCCCTCCAGGGCCAGCCAGGCACTATCTCACCCAGAACTGTGCAGCTTGCCTCCTCTGAAAAACCACTCTAGGGAAGTCCTGTTTCATTCCCAGTCCGAAGCCACAGTAGGCAGTCACTTGTTCTAGCAGCTGCTGAGGAGTGGTCCTCTATCTGTCCACAGAGTCCCAAATCTGACCAGCCCCTGGCATCACTACATTGTAGCTGGTAGCTAAAAACAGCTTGCTTCCCTCTGTCGATGGGACAGGCAGGCAGGAGTGGGCGGGGGGTGAGGAAGGGAACAGGACACATTGAACAGTGAACGTGTTCTGGGACATCAGGCACTACCACCTCCCATGACCTCCCTGAGACTGTCCTGTAGGTTTGGGTTCTTCAGATGCCCTCTCTTCACTGTTAGCCTCTTATCCATGTCAGGGATGCCACCCCACAAAAACCCATTCTGGCGTGAAGGATGCAGGCCCTGGCATTCTGGAGCTACTTTATGGCACCCGGGGCCATAAAGAACATTTCGTCTTCAGCTTCAGTGTCCCCATTAGTTAAATGACAAAGTGCCACCAGAAAGCCAAGAGGCCCCAGTGATCTCTGGTGTTCTAAAAGAAAGCTGACTGCCTCTGGAACACGGAGTATCATGGGAGAGGAGGGTGTTATGCCTCTAGGTGTCCGGTAGCCGTCCAGGTGCACTGCCCTCCACACCTGTTTCTGAGAGACGCAGAGGAAGTTAGGCTGAGTGAGGTCAGGGTCTCTCCTACAGCCCTCCCTGCTTGACTTTCCCATTCCCTGAGAAGATGAAAGATGATCTCCCCCTCTCCTCCTTTCCAAGGTCTCCTCAGCCCCTCCCACTGGGCAAGCCTAAAATGAGCCACAGAACCTCTCCTTTGGAAACGGAATAATTATTTCCTACTTCTTGAGGAAGCAAAGAGATTTCCTGGCATGTCACATGTCCCCGGGGGGCACCATTGTCCTGGCCAGGGTCAGTGGTGCAATCCCCACCCTGTGACAAGCCACACTTGTCTTTCTCCCCTACACCAGCTGCCAAGACCGAGTTGCTTGACTTTACCCCAATACTATGCCTCTATGGAGAAAAAAAAAAAAAAAAAAAAAAAAAAAAGTCAGACCATGAAATAGGCCTGAAATTCAGTGTTTACACATGGTGCCCAGTTGCCCTTTGTTTTAGAATGAAAATGTTTTGTATGACTGAGGAGTCATGGTTAAGTGTTAACCAAGGGTCCAGGGAGTAAGTGGAAGAGATGGGTGTCTGCAGCCAGCTAGCTGCAGGGTGGATTTGGGGAGAACATACCCTCTGAGCATTTAACAAAGGTATATCTGTGCCAGTCCAGACTCCTAGCTGCCATCCTGCTGCCTGTGAACGGTGGTGTGCCGGGCTGCAGGCTGTGAGCACCAGCATCACAGACTCCCCAGTCTCGCTGCTGTACTAGGATTGCCCCATCCCAAGCTTCCTGTTTCTAGGAAGGGGCTTTTTCTGTCAGTCATCCCACTGGGCCTCTAAAGAGAATGTTCACAGCAGTGGACCAGTGAGCCTGTGTCCCAAGTGAGGACAAGTTGGGAACAGGTAAACTGAGTCAGAGATGCAAAGAGCTCAGCGACAGTCTTCGGAAATCCAGGGCCAGTAGATGGTGAGCTGTCAACCTAAAGAGACTGTTTTGGATACTGTACTGATATGCACAGCCAGGTCCTCACCTCAGGCAGCCCCTCCCTGGTCCTGCCTTGTAATGCTTTGGCTGAACCTGTGATCTTTCTGAGGCTAGCAAAATATACCACTATCTAGGCTGGTGCTGGAAGAATTAATGCTCAGAGGGCCTGGGAGCCCAGGGGACAGGAAAGTGTGTGGTTTCAGAATATTCAAAAGGGACAATCGCTTGCAGTAAGAAGATCTAGCGATCTAGTTGAGAGAGAATGGTGTTTACCCCGTAAGAAGTATTCAATAGCTCTACTTGTGAATTTGTATTTATTTTGAGTTATACTTGACAGAGAATTCTTTTAAAAAAATGCTATGTGTGTATTTTGGGAAAAAAATTCATAGATGTTAAAATTTCTGCGTGGTTACCAGTTTTTCTTACCATACAGAACTTGGTGGCCTCTCCCCCCAAAAATTCTTCATAGTGATTTTTGTTTGTATATATTTGAGGGTCTTTTTAAAAAAAAGAAAAGAAAAGAAAAATAGGATTGCTTTATACTATTGAAATTGAAAACAACAAAAGGCATTTTTTGAAACGTCAGTGCTTTTGAGAGTGCAATCCATAACACACAGATTTCTAGATGTATTTTGCAAGTCTAGTTGAGCTATAAGAAGATATTTATGGTGAGAACTTTTCCTTTTTTCTTGTTATTTTTTTCTATGCCTTGGTCTGTAAAAAGTATGCAACTGAACTACATTAAGAAGGAAATATTATCTACATAGAATTATTATATGAAGTTGGTACATAATTCTAACGAGGAAAAAAATCTTTGCAATTCTTTAAGCTATGTTGTTTTTCTGTTTTGTTTTCCTTGGGTGAAAATATCAGTATTAAGCAACCAGTATATTATTCAAGTGTTTAGACTTATTACTATGCTCTTGTCCTGTATTTATGCAGTTGTGTATTTTGGAAGTATTGCATTTTTAAGGGGAGTTATCAGTGGACAGCATGGTAAAAAGGGAACAGCGACCCTTTGCGCCTCTTTCTGAGGTTGACAGGTGGCACTGCAATCAATCCTTTCTCCTGTATCTTCCTGTTATTACCTTGTTGTTATGGTTTTATTAATTTTTTAGGGGAGGGCGGGGAATGAACGAGGGAAGAGTTTGGATGAACAGGTCCTCACATCTGCCGGTCTACTCTCCCTGCCAGCAAGGCCCAAGGAGGCACAAGGAAACAGGAGGTGGGCTTCCTCCTTGCTGGAGTCCTGCCTCTCAGCTCCATGCTCTTTGAACTTGGATCTGTCCACCTGAGCCCTCAATGCCCTCTAGCATCTAATGGACTTGAATCTACTCTAAACAAAAGTCTAATCCAACCTCACTACATTGTAGCCAGAGCAAAAACTAATACTGAAGTAAGGGGTGTCGCAGCCTTCTGGGAGGTGGCAATGAGGATCATCGTTTGCTCTCACGGCTAACTTCCCTGCACCAACCCCGGCACCTCTGTGTGGTGACTCTGTCCATGTCTGTGTCTGTTCATGTGTGTGCATTCAGCTAAAAAGACAAACAGAACCCGTGAGCCCCGCCTGGAGGGTACATGGAGAAGGTTCCTGACTTTCCTGAAGGCCGGCCTCGGGGTGGCATTCCGTTGTGTGCCTTATTCCTGGAGACTCTATATACAGCTTGCCTATGACAATATAGCCTTTCTGTGCTGTATTAAAAAGACTTTGGAAAAGAAGAAGGTTGCGAGTTTGTTTACAAGGAGCATGGGAGAAGCTGGGCATTTTCACAGATGTGGGACAAAGCAGGGCTTGGAAGGACTTGGCTGGCATCTAGTTCCAAGGCTGGTCATGTTGGCTTTGTCCTGCCCCCACCATCGACCTGCCTCCTCCCAGCCCCTTTGGCCTCAGGTGAACACTCCTTCCAGCATGAAGGCTCTCCCCAAGCGTGGCCCCAACTGGGTGAGATTGTCAGCAGATTAGGTCACATGTTAGCTCAGATGGGCTCACTCCCCAGTAACCATATATAGGAGTAACTCAGCCTCCGTCTGCAGCCCTGGGCTCCGGTGTGGCTTCACGTGCTTGAATGTGAGCCCAGGACGGGGGTCTGAGAAACTGACTATCACGTGCAAACAAACGGAAGGCTCCAGGGGAGCAAGGACTAGATAGGGCTGTCACAGGTCGGCATCTGTAGGGGTAAAGCAACACTCTGGAAGGCAATTTGTCCATGAAGCCTCTTGGCCAAGGACCAGTACTTCCTTCAGTCTCACTGCTCACTAGTTACCCCAAGAGGCAGCAATGCTAAGAAATTGGTCTGAACACGTTCTTGGATTCTTAAAGACTTCCTGGGTACACTGTGCACCTCAGCATCACTTGGTTTGAGGAGTCCCCTTATGGCCCTGGGGAGGGGCACTACTGATACTGTCAGGGAAGGGCTAGGGAGGAGGGGCCTCCAGCCCCAGTGCTGGGGCATCCAGTCCCTGGCTGGTGCCAACTCACCACCTAAGACAAATGCTGTCTGGTGGTGAGGGGACTGGGGAGGAAAACTGGAAATCCCAGTTCTGAGTTTTAATATCCAGATCACTAAACTTAAACTGGTCAAAGTGCACTTGTGCGGGCAAGGTCCTGCCTCCAGACTACGGCCTCCAGATGGGACTGAGAAAACCACAGAGGACGAGGGAACAGGACCAGCAAGAACAGAGGCAACTAACTCCAGAAGCAAGACCCTTGTCTGATTTGGGTTGTAGGGTGAACCCTGGAAGCCACCAAGCCTTTTTCTTCAGAGTAAAGAGAATTCCCACTCATCCTCTGGCGTGTAAACATCAGGCAGGCTGCGATCAGTGTCAGTCTAGCCAAGCGGGTGAGCGGAAGGGGACACAGAGCAGCGTGAACAAAGGACTGAATGACCCTTGTGTGTGCAGCGCCACAGCTGGGAACCTGCTAACTGCTGGGACCTCAGCTAGTAGCTAGAGGTGTGCCAGGCAGGGCACACACAATGTCTGCCTTCTCTGCCCGCCCTTCCTCTCCGTCACCCATCCTCTGAGGCGTCGCTCCTTCAGCACACTATATAGATAAGAGGCCAGTGGACATGAGTTCCAACAGCTGCTTGGCAGTAGGACAGACCCAGGGGAGGCGGCCTTTTGGTCTCACTGTCTGCAGCTTAACCAGAAACACTTGGCTCACGGCTATCTGAGGGAGTGGGAAGGGGAGCGAGCCTTGAACCCAGGACCCTGTGCTATCGCTCCCTAGGAGCCCAGCCTCCTCCCTACCTGTCTTCCCCAAGCCCCATGTGCGTGCACCCATGTGTGTGTGCATCCATGTGAGTATATGTGTACATGAGTGTGTGTGTGCTTGCCTGCTCGCGATTGCCCTTTGTGCTTCGTGGAAAGAAAACAAACCCAAAGCAAACACAGGCTGGATTTCGACACTTCCCGAAGCCGTGGAAACCAATAATTCCCCTGGACAGGAAGGATTTCCAGTTGGACTTAATGCTCATGTCCAGAGGCAGCAGCCACCAAAGAAGGGATCTTGGAGGGATGTGAGAAGCCAGCCCAGCTCTAGAAAAAAGCTAGGGTGCCCAGAAAGGACAGTCTTTCCTGATGTCACCCACTCGGCTTCGTGGCAGAAGCAGGAGTCCATCCGAAAGTTGTCCTCTCCCTCCCAAACTCTGGCAGTAATTTGGGCTTTCTAGTCTCAAAGTAGGGGAAATAGGCCAATGGGGCAGGTGGATAAACTGAGGCTGGAGAGCCCTGATGCCTACAACTGGGGTGGGACCTCAAATTATCATCAGTTTCTTTTGGGCCAGGCTTGGTCTCCTAAGCTAAACCCACCGTAAGATGAGCAGCCAGGCCCCACTGTTGTCCAGGTGGGACAGTTCCCTATGGCCTGGAAGCACCAGGGTTGGGCATCTAAAGAGTTACTGGCTGGTCAGGGTGCTTGAGCCTGATCCCCAGGCAGGTAGAGGAGAGGCTGAGATGGAGGAGGGTGATGGCTGCGGTGGGCTTGCCTCTAGGGTAGTCAGGCCTGCTGGCTGTTCCCTCAGCCTCTGGCCACAGCTAGGAACAGACTGTCCTGGGCTCAGGGCCTCTTAGCACTTCCTCCCCCATCTATCCTGATGCTGGAGTCCCTAGGGAGGTATTAGAGGTCTTGGCTACCCTGCCCTATCCTCACTCCCACCCCTCCCCCCTCGCATGCACAAGCACATACACTCACAGGCCAGCTAGCTGCCTGCAACAGTGAGAGCCCTCTGGAAGTTGGGGTTATGGTGATAAGTTTCCCTGGTGGCAGCGCTCTGAGGGTGGAGACTACGAGCGAGCGAGTATGCCCAGAAAAGCCTTTCCCTTCCTCTCTTAACTCTCTTAGGAGTGAGGAAGCTTCAGAGCATAAGGGAAATGAACTTCCTTTGGACCCAGCTATCTCTGTTCCCACAGGCCACAAGTCCTTCCTCAGCAGTGGAAGATCTGAGATAGGGACAAAAGCCAGGCTAGGCCCTGAGCCCAGCAGAGGGAGAAGTCTCCTCCACAGCTGAAGGAATCCTGTGGTGGGTGCTGTGATGTCACTGGGATCACGTCTACTGGATACTGGAGTGTCCCGGCCAAAATGAGACAACTCCTTGCCTTGATGGTTGGGAGTTCTGAAAAGAGACTGGCAAACAGATGGCAGCGACTGAGAGGCAGTCTGGTAACAGGCTGGTGGGACTGTCCTTGCCATCTCGGTTCCCATCCCTGGGGCAGACCAAATGGGTCCAAGGTGGCAGGTAGTGGGGTGTGCCACATACTGGGCCATCCAATTCATACACATCATCTCTTTTGGTTTCCCTGGTAACTTGTAAGTGGGGGGCGGGAGAGGGTGGGGTAAGTCAAAACCTAGAGGCGGGAAAACTAGGGTTCAAAGAGGTTGAGGAAGCTGAAAAGCCCCTTTCTACAACCTCTCAGAGTTGTTCCTCTACCTCTACCAGGAAACAGCAGACCTAAGTCTCCTTCCCAGGCAGCCTGGAATCCACTGGCCTCCCCCCAGCCCCTTGCACCCTGCCCTGACCCCATGCTCCTTCACTCACCCTGTTCACTGGCGGCCTGACTTCCTGCCTTGCTCAGGGAAGAGCGAGCCTTGGACCTATCCGCTCTCCTTGGCCCACAGGCTGTTCTCTCTTTGCCAGGCACACACCCTCCTAGTTCCATTCTTCTGCCTGTTTCTCTGTTGGGTTTTGGCAAAGAACCCTTGCCCAGCATGTCATGGAGACTTCACACTGTCTTCCTTGCTCTCCCATCACATACACTTGCCAGGTCAGAATTTCCCCTGCTCTGTTTCCCCTTTGTACCACCTAGCCAGTCCTTTGCTGTCCTCTGGTGGCTGAATCTGAGAGCTGCCATTTCCTGCTGGTAGGCAAGTTTAATGTGTTGAAGGTGAAAGGGGATTTCCTTCTCTTGCTTACTGAAATGTGTGTCTGTGCATGTACTAACAGGGTGTACCTGACTGGCTCATTTGTAGTGTTCCTTTGGTGGATACTCTATCAACAAAAGGCCCTGGGGAGAGACTCTTCAGCATTCTCTTTTTCTCCTCAGATATTGCTTTTCCTGTTCAAATAACTTTATCCTTTCCATAACCTGACTGGGTCCCCACTTGCAGGCTCAACACCAGGAGTGGTACCAGGAGAACCCTACAGAACTGGATCTGGGAGCTCAGTTGTACCTTTGGATTTGAAGGAATAGCTAGACTGCCAGCCAGTGGGAAATGGCATGCTGGCAATCCATGGCAGGCAGTGACATCACAATTAATCATGGATCACCAATGATACAGTGCCAAGGGAAGAATGTTTCTTGAGAGGCCAGCTACGGCACTTGACCATATGACAGCAAGGATGAATGTATGGACTGTGATGGGCAAGTTCTTTTGAGAATACTTGGTTTACTACCAATAGAGAATGAAACATTCATGCCCCTCAGTTCTCAGCATAGCTAGGTTACAGACTGAGAACCCAAGGTCTTACATAATGAGAAGACTCTCCCACACACTAGGCTGATTTCACTAAACACGAAATAAAACCTTGATTGTGTAGGTAGCTGAACCCCCAATGCCTTTTGAAGTTATAGTCTTATCAAGATTTTCATGTGAAAGAGCATGAAGAATGGAATCCTAACATTTGGAATGCGGACATGTGGGTGGATCCTAACAAAACAAACAACTTAAACTGTCAAGGACCTATCCCTCCTGTGCTCATCTGTGGCTGGAGAGAACTGATTGCTTTGTGTAAAACCACCATAACTAGGGCTGGAGAGATGGCTCAGCAGTTAGGAGCCCTTGCTGTTCTTAGGGATGACCCAGGTTCAGTTCCCAGCACCCGCATCAGGCAGCTTAGAGCTGTTTCTAACTGCCGATCCCGGGGATCTGACGCCCCCTTCTGGCCTCTGAAGATACTCACCCCCATATGCCCTGGGAATAACTAAGCAATGCTTCCCCTCTCCTTCTATAATCCTAATGACAAGCCAGAGTTTGGTTCTACCAAAGAATCAATTTGGTTCCCTGTAGGAACCAACAAATTTATCAGGGTTACTTACAGAGTGTGGGGGAGAAATTATGGGCAGGAGTATGGTTGAGCCAAAGCAGCTACACTGGAAGGTCTGTGTCTGGCACAGGTTGACGGCTTCCCTGTGGCTTTACAGATGGAGGCCCCCCCCCCATCTTCTAGTCCCCAGCCTTTCCTGAGACCCTGAGGCCATATACAATTAGGGTGGAGGTACACACAACCAGTGAGGGAAAGTGGCTGGAAACTCAGGAAAGGGGTACCATGACCCTCCCTGTCTCCTCCTGTAACGGACTGTCAACAATCAACAAGCCCAGCTATGATGATCTTTCCTAAGCAGGTACAGCTGAACTCAGGAAGATGGACATTAAGGATGTCTTTAATTTTTTATCAGAATTAGTAACTGCGCTTGAACATCTACAACTCTTCTTATGGATATATGTTTTCATTTCTCTTGGGTAAATGGTCCCTTATCTGAGGAACTGTCAGGCTGGACCATCAGGGCACGAGGGTTACAATGTGTCAACATCCTTAAAAGCACTTGCTACTCTCTGTATTACCCATCCCAGTGTGGTGTGAAGAATTTCACTGTAGTTTTGATTTGCATTTCCCTGATGACTAACGGTTTGTAGTGTCTTCTCCTGTGCTTACTGCCATTTATATATCTTTGGAAAAAACATTTATCTATTGTGTGTGCATGTTATAAACACACAAATGTCACATAATACACGTGTCAGAAGACAACTTGCAGGAGTTAGTCCTCTCCTTTGATCATATAGGTCCTAGGGAATCGAACTAAGTCATCAGGCTTGGTGGCAAGACTTTACCTGCAGAGCCACCCTACCAAGCCTGTTTTCTTTTTATCTCAAAATGATGCCTTATCTTGATACACACATATCTGGCTCTTGAAATCCCCTCATCTCATCTTCCACATGTTCCCTGAGCCTAGTGGAGAGGGAGTGTAATATAGATGTACCACTTAAGGCTAAGCGTCACACAGTCACCTCTTTGTGCTTTGACCAGCTGTGAGTCTGAATGAACTGACATCCTTATGACTGCATAAGGAAGCTTCTCTGATGAGGGATGAGGGTTGCAGCAGTCTATGGTATAAGGATAAGCATTTAGAAGGCAGCTTGATACTATGTTGATAGTATGTTTCTTTGTTTTGTAAATGTTTCTTCTGTCATGTCAAAATTGTGTAACTTTGGGTCTTATTATAATATTGTTTACATATATGAAATTACAATATAATAAATTGATCATTCTGATGTTAAGCCAGCTTAGCACCTGAGTTAAATTACAGTTGGTTTTGCATTCAATAGGATCCAGCTAGGCTAAGTTATAGTTCAGTGGTGGAATGCTTGTATAAGGCCTTGAGTTTGAACTCTCAGTACCACAAAACACACACACAACAACATCAATAAATAAATAAACAATGCAAAAGCAAAGCACCTTTACCTGTGTCTCATGGCATGCACTCACAATCCCAGCTGTTTGGAAAGCTGAAGCGAAATGATTGAGTGCATGAATTTAAATCCAGCTCAGGCAAGAGAATGAGAGCCAGTCTTAAGAAAGAAGCTTAGGCTGGGCATGGTGCTGCTGCTTGTAATCCCAGCACTTGGGAGGCAGAGGCAGGAGGATCTCTGTGAGCTTGAGACAGCCAAGTCCAGGACAAAGGGAGTCCAGGACAGCTAAGGCTACACAGAGAAACCCTGTCCTGAAAAGCAAAACAAAACAAAAAGAGAGAAAGAATGAAAGCAAAGGAGCTCAGGACCTCCATGCTCCCCCAGAATCCTGAGTCCCAGACTTTAGGCCTTATTACACTTAGGAAACATTTGCAGAAGTTGTTTTTCATGGAGCAAAATCCTGCAGAACCCAGAAACGCGTTAGAGCAGCGGTTCTCAACCTTTCTAATACTGTGGCCCTTTAATGTAGCTCCTCATGTAATGGTGACCCCAGCCATAAAATGTCATTGTTACTTCCTAACTCTACGTTTGAGACTGTTATGAATCGTAAATATCTGAGATGCAGCACATCTGAAATGCAACCCCTGTGAAAGGGCCACTGTCTCCCTCAGTGTGGCGAAACCCACAGGTTGAGAACCACTGTGTCAGTCTCACATGCACTATGGTAGGGAGGCCAGGTGCAAGATGGCTCTTGTTTAACCTCATTTCCACACACAGTCCTAGAACAGGCAAAGGTCACTGTGTGGTAACAGAACTCAGCGGCTTTCTAAAAAGCTGTATAGGGAAGGTCCTGAAAAGATGGTGGTGCTTTGTGTGGTAACTGGTGCTCATTAATTTGCAGATGTGGTTTTCAATATTCATTGATGGTACAATTAAAATGTGAGTTACACTCTATGCCAATTTTACCTCAGTGAAGTCATTCTGAAAAGCCACCGTGGATCTCAGTAAATTGGTGTTTTGGATTTTTGAAAACATAAGGTGTCACATCTGACAGCATCCAAGAAGCAGGCTCACCACCTGATGTACGCCTTAGGTGCTTAGGGTTACTGACGTATGCAGTAGGTACTAAGGGGACTGATGCACTCATTAGGTCTAGAGGGCTTACTGGCCAGCAACAAGTTGGGGTTTTCTATGTTACTTAAAATGGTGCTGCACACACAAAATCAAAAACGAAACCTGGCTTAGGCTTCCGCAGAGTGCTGAGGGAACTGTAGAGGATGACCTTGCTTTTGCCTTTAGGGCGTGGTTTCTAGAAAATTCTTGTGTGCTTGCTGTACCCCGAGATTCCACTGGATGGAGACACAGCACACACGCCCTCCCACCTTCTGAGACCCATCAGAAACTGACAGTAGGCAGGCCACTAAGGAGGGCCAGCTTTCCTTTCAACTTGTCACTGGTTACCTGGGGCACCCCAGATCAGCAGACAACGCCAAGAGATGACAACAGCACATCTCTGACCTGTGCTCTGCGGAGACAGGACATCTCAGCAATAGATGTCCTGTCCAGGCCAGAAAAATAAATACACAGATTTATAAATGAACAGGTGCTTTAAAAACACTTTGCTTAAAGGGGCTGGGGGCTGGGGACAGGACTATAATCCCAGCTACTCAAGAGGCTGAGGCAGAAGATTCACAAATTCAAAGCTGCTACAGAGCAACTTCAAGGCCACTTTGGATATCACAGGCCTAGCCTAAAAATACACAAAAGGGTGAGGGGAAGGTATTGGAGTCACGGGTCAGTGACAAAGCGCTGGTGTGACCTGTTTTTGGTAACGATCCCTCTAAGAAGCATGTGTGTACTTTCTGTACTGGCCCTTTGCCAGCTGCCTGATAGCATTCTCTAGATAGGTCACAATCCAGGCTGTAGCCTCCACATACTCACCTGTAAGCCACTGAGCTACATGAGAATTTATGTTATTATTCAGCTAAGGCCTGCTTCTCAAATGAAATCCTTTGGCAGCCCCAGCACAGAAAGAACGGGAGAGTAATGTGACACAGGCCTCAGGGTATACACCACCATACCTGGTTGTTCTGAGGATGCCTGATACTCTGAGAATCGCCTTGAAAATGCTATTCCAGCCAAGCTCCCAACCCTTGTAGCTCAGCTCTGACTTCATGGAAACTGTGACTCTGAAGACTCAGCCTAGCCATCATGACCTAAGAGTGACCAGGCCCAGCCTTATATAACCACACATCACCTGACTCAGGAGTTCTATACGAAATGAATGCATTACTCACCTCAGCCAGAGCCCAAACCTAGGAGGTACTGGCTTGCCATGTCCCTGCCCACCTAAGGAAACTCTTAGTCATGGGCTTGCTCCAATCCTCTTTCCTGAGAATTCAGCAATAAGATGAATTTCAAGTTTCAGTGGCCTGGCCCAGCATGGACAAGGAAACCCACCCCTAACCTCTGGTGATCTCAGCTCCTTGCTTCGGCAAGCACCCTTTCCTAAGGATCTCTGCTACATGGGGAATGTCATCCTCTTGTCATTACCCAGAGTTTGCTAGGATGACGCATCCACGAACCTGACATGGATCACACCCAGTGAGACCTAGGTGTCATGCACATATTATACAGCTGAGGGAAACAAGCTTGATCACTGAGCAGAGCTGGGACTCTGCCTGGAGGCAGTGTTCACGGCGGAGGCTGTGGAGACTATTAGCCTCTGTCTGGATCATTTCTACAGCTCAGATGGCAACAGGGATGTTCTTATTGGTCTCTGAGCCAGTAACTGGGATTCTACATGGAGTTCCTTAGCATAGGGCTTAGCTTATATACACAAAGACCCTAGCACCATAAAACAATAAAACAAACAAACAAACAAAGCACAGAACTTTACACATAGTAACTCAAAGGTTAGCTCTAGCTGGATACTATGATTCATGCCTGGACTCTCAGCAGCATTCGGGATGATCAAGAGAGTTTCTAGGCTGATCAAGTTTCTAGCTTCTAGGCCAGTCTAGACCACATAGCAAGACCTTGTCTCAAAACAAGCACAAAACAAACAAGCTCCAAACATTTAGGTTTCAGATTTCCTTCTAAAACCAGAGACAGCTGTTTTATAGAAAATAGGATTTATTATCACATTTGAGATGAACACTAACGGCTGTTCCCCAGAAATCCTTTGCATAGTAACATTGATAGATTGGATTTATTCAATATACAGAAAAATCAAAGCCTGTCAGAAAGCACTTTCTTCTGGAGGACAGCATGAACACGGGCAGTTCCTGTAAGTTTCCAGCATGGGAATTCACATTGAGCAGACAGACTCGGCTCACAGGTCTGTTGCCAGGCCCAGCTGCTTCTATTCCTCCGGCTCCCTTCAAAAATCACAGCAGCCAACCAGTAGGATTCACAGTAACCAGGAGGAAAGACATTGATGTCAGACTTTTCACAAGAGCCCTGAGTTATGTTTCAGAAGCCAGGCTCGGGGGCGTGTAGCTTGTGCCAGCTCAGGTCACACGCAGTACAGTGTTTTTTACATCACAGCTTTGTTTCTATGACATCTTATTAAATTATTGCAGTGAGGAAGACAATATTAAATGGCAACTTCTGTCCCAACTGGTCAAGGAAAAGTCAGGACCCTTCCCTGGATGCTAGCTGGCCAGCATTACCAACGTCCAAGGCACACATGAATGGCAATCATGGGGACACCTGCTGAGGGCACATGGCCCAACAGCCACCCTGATTCTCAGATAGAGGGTCTGAGAAAGGATGACAGCTGAGAGCAGCCTGGTCCTGTGAAGGACCGTGTGCCTGAGCGGTCTTCCCTGTACTCAGTAAGGGGAGGTGGGCACAAACGGCTCTTTGAAGTACCTGGGTGAACCGACTCATGGGCGGCTGCCACTGTTCGAGCACTCGGCTATGAGTTAGCTCAACTGGCCGCAGTCTGTGATGACAATCTTCTTAGATGTCTTCCCACTTTTTGAGCCAAAAGATTCTATTTTCTTCACAACATCCATGCCCTCTTTGACATGGCCAAACACGACATGCTTGCCATCCAGCCTGTGGGGAAGGTTGAGCCAAATGAGAAGAGACCCAGTGTCTTGGCCACTCAGCATAGAGATATTTGCCAATACTAATTCTCAAAGGAACACCCTCTCCCCCAAAAGCTTAATCAAGCTCCGTGAGCTCCCCAACCACACTCCAGTGGATGCCAGGCTCCCAGCCTAAGTTCTGTCACCCTGGGCTTTGACCTGGCAGCTTGCTCTGAATCTTGGTGGTCTCACCTCTGAAAAGTGGGCTATTCTCATTCTGCCCAGGAAAATGATGAGCATGGAGCAATCAAAAAAGACATTTGTACAGTGGACACATGGACTACTTCAGCAGGCAAGCTGAGCACCAGGACAAGTGTGAGAAGTCTGAAGGTGTTAAGCAGGCCCTGATTTGTGAGCTCCAAGAACAGAACAGGGACTTAGCTCCAGCAAAGCCAAGAATGACACAGGGGAGCAGCAGAATCTCAAGGTCCACTAAGTCTTCCACAAAACGAGCAAAGAAGACGGAACCAGCAACATGCTCAGCCGACAGCCTGTGTGGCTTAAAAGACAGAGGATAACAAATGTCATCCTATCATTTAGGTTTCCTTAAAGTGGAAACGGGTTTTCTAAAGTTCTCAGTCAACTGTTGCCTCTGAACTCCAGGGACCTGAGGTTTGGAATAATGAAGACTCTGCAGAGAAAGGTGCTGCTGAGTGGAGGTTTTACCAAGGAAAAGGCATTCGTAGACAGCACAGGCCAGTGGGAAAGGGGGCTGAAGGGGCTGGGAGCCATATGCAGTCATGCTAAGGGTATATGAAAAAAACCAATAGCACCATTGGAAAGCATGGGTGTGACACAGGCACAGAACAGCGTAAACTATCCCCCAATTCTTTTCCTGTCTCTCAGACAGACACAGTGAGAAGAAAGCCAATGGACCAGAGCAGATGATCCAACTGCCCACCACCCTCCCCACTGTGCACAGACCTCCCCGAGCTTCATTCTCAGAGGTCCTGCACTGGGAAGTACTCACCAGTCTGTCTTTATTGTGCAGATAAAGAACTGAGAGCCATTGGTGTTGGGGCCTGCATTTGCCATGGACAGGACACCTGAAAGACAAGCAAAGGTGAGCTGTGTCACCATTCAGAACAGCAGATGGCTCACACTCCATCAAGGAGCAGAGAGAACCAGAACTGAGCTCGTGTGCCTTCACTGCGAGCTAGGTTTCAACGGGGGAGGCTGGGGTGAAAAGACTTTGGGAATCTCAGGCAGAGAGTTGATTGGAATCCCAGGTATGACCCTAGACCCTACACTCTCCCACCTTCTACCTTGGGTACTGGTTAAGGATTCCCCAACCAAGTTCCCATAGGGAAATCTGTCTGGTTTTTGTTTGTCGAAACAAGTCTAAGTGGCCAACATGGCCTTGACCTTTGCGTTGTCTTGCCTCAGCCTCCCAAGTGCGGGAAATTAGAATAGAAAGTCTGGTTTTTACAGAGCTAACAACGAGAAAGCCCTAGGGAAACTCAATATGCTAGGAATGCTGAGCTGCCTGGAGCTAACAGAAGGAGCATGGCAGAATGTCAGGCAACTGCTGACCACAGCTGCTCTGGCAGCCAGATGAGTTGGAACAGCAGAGAACACTGGAGAGGAGCTCAGTTCCACGCACCTGGCCCCACGTGCTTCAGTGTAAAGTTCTCGTCAGGAAACCGGCTTCCATAGATGGACTTCCCTCCTGTGCCATTGTGGTTGGTGAAGTCGCCAGCCTGCACACAGAATACGTTGTAACTGGTTACCACATAGCTGGCAGGGAGACAGTGGGACTCCCTAAGAAGGCAGCCCCCATCCCACTCAAGGTCCACCCTCAGGCAAAAGGCCGAACAACCATCCAGTGACTGCTATAAAATGGGCAAACTAAAGCCAAGCTTCTGTATCTGGAACCACGCCGTAAGTCTGGTTTCCGAACAATACGTTTCTTGTCTAATCTAGTTTTTTTCAGTAAGCCTCAAGAATCATGTCTGAGGTGTTCTGATTTTCAACCCACAGTTCCTAAGAGGGTCACGAGTAGGTGACCAGGGGTCCTGTTCTCAGAGCTGGGCTGGAGGGAAAGACCAGGCTGAGTCCCTTCCTTTGCCCCAGCATCATCTTCCCCAAGCCCAAGGATTTTGTAGACACAGGGCTCACAAGGGCTGGGAACTTCCCTCAGAGCCTGCCCAAGGTCCAGGCAGCCCAGAAAGGACCTGCATGGAATTCCTGCCCAGAAGAGAACAGGAGCAGTTCTGTGCCCAGTTGGCCACAGCCAAACTGTGGTTTCTCTGAGACAGGACCCTTAAGTGAGAGGTGTGAGCTGCCTCCTCCAGCTAAAACATCAACTAAAGTGTCCCCAGTTGCCTTGCCTGGGCCTCCTGAGGCCACCACTCCAACCCACAAAGAGCTCTCCCAATCTCTAACTCCCTTCTTGACTCCAATCACCCACCTGAGTGCCTACCTCCTCTACCAACCCAGGTGGACCTGGGAGCCTCTGCAGAAAGGTCACAGGGCTTGGCTGGGTTCAGCCCCAGCTCTGCCTGCCTCTCCTTCATCACACCCAATGTGTGACCAAGTGACAGCTGGCAGAGACCCAACCCACTGCTATTCAGTTACAGAGCAGCACGAAGGACTTCAAAGAGACCACGACATCAATGCCCGTCTCTAGGTTTCCTGGTCTCCACAGTCAACCTCTGACCTTGAGTCTGCACATGAAGTTTTTATTACCAACACCTATCCCCAAATCTGATGCAGCAACACCTATATGTTTGCAGAACAGGATGAATACGTGACTAAACAATATACACATTTAATCAAGAAAAGGTATTCCCAAGTCTGGGCATGTGCAATGCTGATTTAGTCATCTTCTCTGCACCCCCTAGCTTGTCCTGTGCCCATTGCTCAAGGCCACACAGAATACCAAGATTAGAGGGTGTCCAACTCTGGTGGCCCTTCAAAGCCTCAAGGCCCATCCCACCAGCAGCCCTCTGCTGTGTCCCTTCCATGCACTAAGGCCCATCTTGCTTAACAGTGATCTTAACAACCCCCTGGGCAGCTCCACTCACAGCAGAGGCCATGTTCCTATTACCTGGCACATGAAGGCTGGGATCACCCTGTGGAAGGTGGAACCTTTGTAGCCAAAGCCCTTCTCACCAGTGCACAGGGCTCTGAAGTTTTCTGAAGAAAGAAGGAGAGGCAGGTTAGGGGTAGGCCAGTCTTCCCTGCCAATCCACCAGATGAGCTGTGTGTGGGAAGACCCTGCCCCTTCTCCTGAGTCCATTCTTGATCACATACTTTCCTGCCTTGACCCCGTAACAAACACTGACTAGAACACAAGCTCTAAACTATGCCAGCCAGAATAACAGGGCAAGAAGCTCAAAGACCATATACCTCGCCTGCCCTGTGCTGTTATGCAGAAAGGGCAGGAAGCTATCTCTGGGAGCTTACACAGGCCTTCTTCTGGTTCTGAGATGTCTAGCTACTCAGGGCCACAGGAGGACAAAAGGCTGCCTCAGGACACCCAGCAGCTGTGCTTAGGTTGAAACTTCCACACTGTCACAGTCTGAGCCCTAATTCCTCCCCCAAGCCCATCAGCCTTGCCTGCTTACTTTCCACTTCTGCCTTACCTGCTGTCTTTGGCACGACATCTGCCTTTAGCTATGGGGAAAGAAACGGGACAAAAAAAGGATGGTCAGTCCAGAAGCAGGTACAGGAAAAAGGCCCCTCACCATTAACATCCAGTGGCCATGAGAAAGAACCACAAGACCATTCCTTTCCTATGACCTCCAACCCTCCCAGGAACAGCCAAGGCAACTATCATTTCTGGCAGCTGCTTCCTGAACCCAAGGCTTGCTGGAGACAGCCTCAGTTTCTTATCTATCAAAAGAGAGCAGTGCCGTCCTGGCCCACTTCCGGGACAGAACTGACAGCTGGAGGCCCTGAGCACGAGTCCCTGGAACAGAGCATCCTACCAGAATCGGCTGACGTTCCTCAGTGTAGGGGGAAACTGAGGCTCACAGAAGGGAAAGAGGACATGGTTAAGGGACGTTTACAGCTTCATCCAAGCCTGTCTCTTGCCTCTCGGCTTCTCTTAAGAATCCTTCCCACCGAGTGGGGTTAGGGAGGTGCTTCTTATTTTTCATAAGGGGAAACTGAGGCATAACAATACCAGCCCCCCCCCCCCCCCCCCATAAATCAGTCAGTCAGCACTAACTGGTTCCTTTGTTTAAAGTGGAACAGCCTAAAGACAACACTGGGGCCTCCCCCTGATACCTCGGTGACTGTTTCCTAGTTTTCTTTTTAAGGGTCGAACAGGAGCTAGTGCTGAATGTCACCTCAAAGAGTGGAGAGTTGGGCTCTCAGTTGAGAACCTTCTCACTTGCATTCCCAGGTGCCTCCTCCTACGCAGCTGGGCCTTGGGGGCGGATTCGGAGTGCGCTGGGCGTTAAGGTCAGGCCACCACGTGAGCACTGGGCAACGTGCACCTTAGGCACCGCACCTCAGGGCTCCGGGTCCAGCCTCGGACACAGAGAGTCTAGGGAGCCCAACGTCTGCCCTGGCCGGCTAGTGGTCTGTCACACAGTGCGATCTGACCTTGACTTTTTCCTCCCTCGCCTCCACGCTCCCCAGGGTTCTGAAGAGCCCTGGAACGCACCAAGCTGATGCCCAAGGTCGCCCGGTGTGCCCGGCACAGCACGGGGCCCGAGAAGCTAGATTTGCCCAAGCCTCACCTCCAGCACCACGCGGCCGAGCGGCTGCCCGTCGGCGCCCACATCCAAGTACACAAGCGGGTTCCGAGAGGAGGAGTTCGAGTCGCGGGCTCCGCCGTCGCTGCAGGCGCGGGTCGCGGACAGGAGCAGCGGCGCAGAGCGAGGGCCGGAGAGCAGACCGAGCAGGCGGGGGCAGCAGCGCAGCGCCAACATCGCGGTCGCGGGTCGGGCGAGAGCGCGCGGAAGAACTCACCGCAGCCACCACCGAGGCCGTGTGACCCAGGAAGCAATAGCCGGCGCTCACCGCCGCCTTTATTGGTCCGCTGGCTTCGGGACCACGCCCCTCCCACGCCCCCTCAGAGCCTGCTCGCTAGCGCCCCCTGCTGGTTGCAGTTGGAAGCCGCAATCACTCGTGCCTGGCGTCCCACCGCCCGCCTACACCTACACACAGAGCGGGAAGTCCTTTGAAAGAGCCTCTGCACCGAGAGCCGCGACCCTGAGGGGATGTGAGGTGGATTAGAGAGGCAGAGATACCTTCCAAGACACACACAAGGTGACCTCTCGTTCCTGGGCTGAGTCTGTCTCCCTTTGCTTGTAGAGACCAGACCCCCAGCCAGCAGGACTGAAAATGCAGTTTGCCCAATCTGCCAGGGGCATCTGCCAGGCCTCAGTCCGCGGGTGACTTCTCCCCAGCCCACACCGACAGCCCTTGCTGCCTCACCGCCTCCAGCCAGGAAGGGGTTGGGCTAGAACTACACCCACCAACACTTCCCTGGAATACACACCCTTGCCAACTGTACCGCACCTGCAGGTAACTTGTTAAGCAACCATTCTTAAGGGATGCCGGGAAGTTGGCAGTGTATGATGCAAAAGGGAAGGAGCCTGCAGCAGAGGCACAGCCAGAGCTTGTGCGCTTGCTTATTGGGTATAACAGCAAGCCCTGGTTCCCTGCTGCCGGCTTGCCCGGTCCCTCAACACATTCACCAAGGGAGCAATGAGAAATGTACCCTGCTTTCTCCTCACACCTGTTCTAGGGATAAATAAATGAGAGAGAGAGAAGCATTTGTTCACTGTTAAAGGCTTTGCCGTGGACAACGTGATGGGCGTAGCCTAGGCTGAATGCTGAAGGTAAGGTTTCAGGGCACAGAGGGGAGCCCCCTGCAAGGTCTCAATGGCCTTAGAGATGAGAGAAGGAGAGGAGTGGGGGCTGGGAGCAGGGGAGCATGGCCTGCCCTGTCCAAGAACCAACCTGTGGGGAGGTGTGTGCAGAGGCCAGGCTGCTCCAAGCCAATCCATGAAGTCAGGGCGTGCCTCACGCACATGCCAGGGGCCCTCTGTGAGGGTTCACAGCCCTGTGCTTTGTGCTACTGGCCTGGTGAGTTGTTTACCAGGCCCTAGCCTAGGGTAGCCTCAGCCAATCCCAGAGAGAACCTGCTCTTTTCCTGTCAGTGTATATAAAATGAGCTGCCTGCATGGAAAACCCACTCGTTCTCTGCTCTGCTTGAGCCACTGGCACGTTTTCTACATCTATGCGACCGCAGTGCACACTTAGACTTAAAAGATGCGGAGAGGAATCACCACACGTGCCCTGCTAGAAAGCATCCAAAAGCCCCAGGCTTCCTGTAGCCAGCTGACTCCTATAGGCTTTGACTCCTAGAGCCTTTAACACCCAAAGTGGAAACTAGTTGTCTTTCAAGCCTGCAGAGGTGGGGCAGGATTCAGTCTATCCCCTACTGTGATAAAGTGTGCACAATCCCACCCCAGAAGAGAGCAAGCCTTCGTTCAGACTCCTTCCACTCTCACAGCCTTCTTCAGCCTCAGACTTCATCCACCAGCTTAGCACATAGCCCTTTTCCAGGCCCCACATTGTGACAGTGACTTGTCAAGGGCAGTGCGTTGGGCTGAGACTGGTCTGTCTGACTTCAAGGTCAGTGTTATTGGATGCCAAACCCTCCTGGCTGTCATCGGGGAGCTAGACTGGAACAGGGCCCGAGGGAAGCCTTGGAGGGACAGTGCAGGAAGACAGAAAATGAGGTAACCAGGAGTTGTGAAGCCCAGAGGGTAAGGGAGGTGATTCCTACCTCTGAGTACAACAGAGGCACAAGAATGTGAACAAGTCTTTGGGGGGAGGGAGGGTTGAGCCAATAGCAGCCAGGCTGGGATCAGTTACGGCATCATTGAGAAAAGGCTGTGATCCGAAACCTGAACTGAAAATGTGATGAGAATGATCATGGAGGAAGGCTAGGCTGGGGCCTGATGTCGTGGTAGCACTGGGAGCCACAGGTGGCAAGATGTTCCCTCTACCTTCCTTCACCTGTTACTCCTTCACATTCTTTGGCAAACACATTTTCACTCCATTGTGTGAGCCAGAGTAAACTTCTGTTTCCACCACAGGCTGGATTCTGACCTCATTCCCACCTGTTCTGTATCAGGAGCGGCAATCCCTAAGCTGAGCTGCTGCTAAGGACGTACCCAGCCCTGAAGAACATGGACCCGGCTGAGATTACATACTGTGCTGGTCCCTAGCTGCTTACGGACTGGGCCATCTTCAGAAGTTTCTCCTCAAACTGCCCAGGTGGCTTCTTATTCAAGAGTGTTGACAGTTGATGTGCCCCGGACCCTGGACCAATAACACGCTTGGACCTTATGGGGCCAAAAAGCAGTCAGGAGAGACTGGGATCAAATTTGTGTTCTGGAGTTGCAAACTCAGGTACCTGTGGGAGCCAGGAGTAATCCAGTCTGGGAAGACAAGAAATGAGTGGCTGAGGCATGCTCCAACTCAAGAGGTCCCATAGGTGGAACTATGGGAGCATCACAGCCAGCTAGGCCTTCACATTATCCAATAAAAGCAAAAACACTTGAAGTTTTCAACAAATCTCTTTTTAAAAATCTATGTATATGTGAGTATGTCTGCATGAGTATGTACACATGAATACAGGTATCCATAGTGGCCAGAAGAGGACAACAGATCTCCTGAACAATTGTGAGCCACCTAATCTGGGTGCTGGAAACTGAACCTGGGTTTTCTGGAAGAACAGCAAACGCTCTTAATGACTGAGCCGTCTCTCCAGAACCTCTCTTTTGAATCAGTTTCTTGTAGCCCAGGCTAGCTTGCAATGTAACCAATGATGATCTTGAATGTCAGACTCTCCTTTCTAGCTGATCAATGTCGGGACTTCAAATGTGTACCACCACACCTAGTTTAAATGGTGTGGGGGCCAAACCCAGGGCTCAGGAATGCTAGGAAGCGTTGTAGCATCCTCAGGCTCAAAAGCTAATTTCTAAGAATGTTGGAATCTCCTTCCTTCCCTCCCTCCTTCCTTCCTTCCTTCCTTCCTTCCTTCCTTCCTTCCTTCCTTCCTTCCTTTTTCTTTGGTTGTTTGAGATAGGGATCTTCCTGTATAGCCCTGAATGGCCTAGAGCTCACAAAGTATATCAGGCTGGTCTTGAACATATATAAGTTTTCCTGATTGTGCCTCCCAAATGTGGTACTTCAGGCATTTGACGCATTGCTTAGCTTGGGAATTAATTTTAGAATAAGATTAAACACAAAATGACCTATGAAAAGCATATCCCCCACATATCCCCCACATATCCCCACATATCCACAAGGCAGGCGCAGTGTGCAGTGTGAGTGTGAGGCAGAGGTGCATGCTGTGGCCATTGTGTAAATTGGGATTGTCTAGAGAGGCTGCGCAGGAAGTGCTAGGCTGACAATAGGTGTCCTATGTGGGTACAGGGTGTGGTTTCATCCTGAAGGCTTTGTAAGTTCACAAAGGTGTTTTGTTTGCTTTTGCTTCTTTGAGCCTCAGCTTCCTCATCTGCACGGAGGAGTTAGTAATACCGGTCTCAGAGGATTGCTCCTGTTAAATAGAATGGGACATGAACATATGAGGGGCTCAGTGAAAGGATGAGTGAGAAATGAATGAATGAATGAATGAATGAATGAATGAATGAGTGAAAACCTTCCTCTCCAGGCCAGCAGAAGACTTAGATTAAGGGTGGGGATTTTGAGACAGATTCTCATCCCATTATGTAACCCACACCAGCTTCCAGCTTACGATCCTCCTGTCCCTTGAGCCCTGGACTCCCAGAGCGCCCACCATGTCTGGAGAGAAGGGTGGACTTGAAAGCATGATGTTGTGACCTTAGTGGAGTTCTCTGTGGTTTCGTAATGGATTTTTCTCTTCTCCCCCGTGGCTCCCTCGGGAAGCCCCGGTGCCACCCTCACCCCACCCTGACGTGGGAGGAAGGCGCCACTTGTGCAGGTGTAGAGCCTTAGTCACCACTTCGTCAGTGAGGCCAGCTGGCCTGGGCTGTATGCTTATTTCAGAGTGGACCTGGGCGCTCTAAGTTGTGGTGGGGGTAGGCTATGCAGGAGCCAGCACTGGCTCAGCTACACAGAGCTCTTTTCATTGCGTAGAAAAAAAAATGTACTAAAAAAAAGTTATTCTTCTCAGTCCAGCCCCATGGAGGCAGGCAGTCTGTAAACTGCCCTGGGTAACGTCTGGAAGATACACACATCTCTCTGTGTATATCTTATCTAATGTAGAGATAATATATATTATCTAATCTAACCTGTGGACACGCCTCATCTAATGACTTGATTGTAATGAACAAAAGACAGCCTATAGAAAAGGGTCACCAAGATCATCTGTGAATCTATGGTTTCTTCTTTGAACTTGTGCTTTTCCCCATGCTCTCTCTTTCATTGTCTCTCCTCTGAGCGCATCTCTCTCTTCTGTCTTTCTCTCTCTCTCTCTCTCCTCTCTCTCTCTCTCTCTCTCTCACACACACACACACATGCACACATACACACACACACACACCACCACTGCTACCACCATCGCCACTACCACTATCTGTCATATCAGGGGGTGACACAAGCAGCCTAGCAGGAGGCCCTGTGGAGAGGAACCAAAGCCTGACAGTAGCTACATACAATTTTTGCACGTGTGTCTTCTGCAAACTTCCAACCACCATGTGTGTTTGAAAGTTGATCCTCCCTTCCAGAAGAGCCTTGGGGTGACTGTACCCCAGCCCCATCTGGCCTGCAGCCTCCTGAGCAGAAGCCCCCATCTGGCCCATGGCTGGAGTGGTGAGCTCCAGAAACTGGAGTAATGCATATTTATCATTCGAAGCTGCCAAGTGTTAGGTCTGCAGCAATAGGCAGCTCATACCCAAAGCATCCTGCCCCCCCCCCCCCCCAGCGCTTGTAGGCTCCCATTGCTCCACACCTAAGAGCTACTGACCTGCCATTTCAGCAGGTTTGTCACCAGCTGCTCTTGACAGAGACCACATGGGCATGGACAGGGAGAACAGGCTCAGCAAGACAAGACTTGCTTATCTCTGAGAAAGCATGAAGCTCATTTGTCTTGTTTTTCTACAGGAAATGAGTAGGGGATGGGGGAAGGGAAGAGAGTGTTGGAGGAAGGCTTAAGGGAGCTAAGCTGAACTGTTTGGGGTAGCACCTAACTTGTTGGCACCAAGACGTCACCCCTAGCCTCGGAACAGCCCTGGAGAGTACTGTCCCTGTGTTACAAATGAAGGAATGGAGGCCCACAGAGGGTTAGCTAGTCATTCAAGTCTCACTAGGATGAAGTAGAAAGCATAGTTCTCCCACCTTGTCTTGACTCTGTGTCTTTCTGGAGGAGCTAGTGGGTCTATGTAGACAGACTCCTCCGAGGCCGAGTGTGTCAGAAGACATTGCTCCATATAGCCCTTCTTCAACTAGCTTGGCATTGCTTATTCACATAGAGTCACGACCCCAGTTAGTCGTTTTGGGAAAAGGAGAGGTGTTGGGTATTTGGGCAGCTCTCTATGCAGCTCTGACTGTCCTGGAACTTACTATGTAGACAGGTTGACCTTAAGCACACAGAGATTCACTTGCCTCTGCCTCCCAAGTGCTGGGATTAAAGCTGTATACCACACCGAGCCCGACTAGTCTTAATAACTCTGTAAGGAAGGGTTCTAAGAGGCTGGGTTAGACACTAGCCCAGGCCCAGTTCAGTGCATGCCCTACACTCTCCTCCCATAGCCAGCCAGGCCTTCTTGTTCTAGAGAAGGACCTACCAGTCCTCAGCCATGTGGCCTTCAGCAGCTGGGCAACAGATAAGCCTGCTGCCCTGAATACACTCATTAGAACAGCCCACACCCAGAGTCAACAGAAAGAGCCAGCCTAGATTTATTCTTTGCAGGCAACAGCCCCACCTTTATTTACTTTTTATGCTTTATAGTGACTTTTTCAGTGCTCCAGTGTCCCAAAGCAAGCGTCCCGCTGCTAGGTTGCCTAGGTGTGAGACTTGGGCCTTTGCCAGTGTTACTTGGTCAGAACTTGCCTGAGCTCTGTCCATCACAGAAATCCATAGCCTGCAATTTTGCAGCACTCCTCCCTTCCTACAGTCTGTTGGCACAGGCGGATTTTTTCAGTCTACTGACTTGCTCTCCTCAGACCTCGCTCACTGATAATACTGGAGGCCTTTCCTTCCTCTGTTAGAATAACCCCCTTCTCTCCACAATGACGGCATGCTAACCAGTATTGCTACCTTCTAACCACTCTCACCCACCATTGGTCACTAGTGTCTGGGGTATACCGCAAGCACTTGCACTATTTCTTAACTCGTGCCTGGCCCTGGAGAACACATACTAGTGTGATGCTGCTTTTCTAAGTGTGGTCTCTAAATATTATTGAAATGACATGAGCTAGCCAAGACTAACTGGCTTTTCCTGACAGTCTGCGTCAGGATCAGCTCTGCCCAGGGCCTGAACTTGGCTCCTCCTGCTAATGCTGTTGTTGTTGAATTTTCGTTGAATCTCAATCTCTGTGACAGACATTTCTAATATTTAACTCTCACATGCTGTATTTCTAAGACAGAGTGTGTATATTACAGGTCCCGGGCTCACCCAGGTACCTCAGGAGACCATATAGAGGCCTCAGCTTCGTGGGGACTGTCCAATATTCAGGATAAGGCCCAGGGAAAGGAAACAGGGACCCTGTGGATCAGGGTGTGGAGAGCAGCTTGCATTTAACTGTTTGCTAAAGAGGGAGGTGGGGTGGGGCATGCTGTCATCTCCAGAGAGACAAGAGCTACATGTCACAGCGATCAACCACAAGCCTGCCCAGAGCCTTGTTTGCATTAATTTAGCTGAAAGAGCTTTCCACCAATTGGCAATACCACAGCACTTTAAAATAATAAGCTCCCCACGGCTGAAGGTGTGCAGGAAATACTACAGATAGGATGCTTGTCCAGGGTGTGTGGTGGTCCAAGGTGACCTGCAAGGTTCTTTCCTGAAGTGGAAGTTTCTGGTTTCTTTGAAGACTCAGTTGAGTCATATGATGTTTCGCTAGAAGCTGTCTCGTAAGAGGGCATGTGATGTTTCGTTGGAGGCTGGCTTGTGAGAGGGAGCATGATGTTTTGCTGTGAGCTGTCTCGTGCAAGGGGCATGGCGTCGGTCAGCTGAGAACACCCTGGGGTGAGCTCTGAGGAGAGGAGATATGTAGAAGCCCATGGACAGCGAGACATCACTTTTTGGATGCACATCACTGCGCTGATCTTCATGCTTTGACACTTGACTTCAAAGAAAGAAATGTTCCAGAAAACTTCTCAGGGCAATCCAGCCGAGTCCTGTGGCTTTTGGTAACTTGTCCGATCTTCTGAATCATGCTGATTCCTGTTGCTGCTTGGTGTTGGCCTTTGGACTGAACTGCTGGTGTCCAGACAACAAAGAATGGACTCATCCCAAAGAACTACTTCTAAAAATGGTCTACAACCCCCTTTACCTAATAACCTTCTTTCTTCCCCACCTCTGGTCAGTGGACAGAAAGGAGGTAGAAGCATTTA